ATATATAAGTCTAAATTTATAAAATAAATCTGTTGAAATATTATCAAAAAAATTAATTGAGTTTCAAATTTATCTTAATCTTACTACTTTTTAATAAAATTTTTCATTAATAGTAATTATTAATATTAAAATCTGAAGAATTCTGTAAATAATATTGAAGCAACTCAAATATGAATTTAATTTTATTGTATTTTTGATTCTCATCATCAAGATATCTTAGATTTTAATCATTTATGCTTGCTATAAATTTATATATCAAATTTATCATTATAGATAATGTATTATTTACTTTATTATTTAATCTTGTAATTAGTATTAAATGCAATTTAAAATTTGAATTATGATAATTTTAGGAATGATCATGATAGAATGACATTTTAGAGTAAATGATTTATATTTGAATATTGAGTTGAAAATAAAATTATATATTTACCAAGAAAAAGTTTTTAAATGATTGATATTTTTGCTTTTAATTCTCATAAGCATGAATATGATGCAATTTTTTTCTTAAAAATTTGTATTGATAAATTAAAAATGTCAATAAAATATGAATAATGATATAAAATTAAATTTATATAAAAATGATAATTAATAACAAATTTATATTCAGTGATTTTATCAATATAATCAAATACTTAGTTCTACTTTTTTTTTTTTTGTTATTGCAAGTTCTTTAAATTTACATTCGACGATTTATTTAAACTTTTTTTCTTAACTTGATTTATTTTTAAGACTGTTTCTAGCATTAATAAACCAATTTAAAACCTATAAGAAATGGCAAATATACATACCTATTTGTTTGTTAAATTAGTTTATTAGACTAACTACTCTACTTATTGGGTTTTAGGATAAGGATTGTTATAATTTTCAATCAGCCATTTTTTGAGTACCATATTAGCAGATTTTGAATAAGTCCTCTTAGTGTTAGCTAAAATGAATATGAAAATATTATCATACTTGGATAATTTTAGAGTAATTTCAATTTTTAGATGTCTTCATAGAGTTTGATTTTGTTTTAAATTTGGGTTGTGGCTTCTTCAAAAAATTGAGTGATTTATGTTTAGGTCATGGTACAATACAATTTTTCATTTATTATCCTTGATTTAAGTATTTCAAAGAAGTTTTTAAGTTAAGCATTCTTTTCAACTGCCTATCCTATATTTAATATAAATACATTTGTCTCTTAAGTGCATTCTACATCTATTGACTCAATTTTCTTTTAAATATCATCGGTTTAGATTGAAGAAATTTATTATTGGCTTAACCATTAAACCCAAATGTGCTCAAGGCTTTATATCTCAGATTTAACTTTCTATTCCTTTTATTCATTAACTAATTTATAGTTAAGCATAAATTACCTTATTATTATAATTATTGGTAAGAGGAAAGTTTAGTGGGCTCTTCTAAGAAAGTTTAGAAATGCATATTTAGGGAATCTTTTTTTTATTTTTTAAAATTGATTAATTTAAGTCAAAATTTTACTGATAAATTGCAAATCAGCAGTCTAGAAGGATGACGCTTATCCAGTTTTTAAGTTACCAACAAGATTTTAACATTTATAATAGCTAATTTGAATTTAAATTATTTGTATATTCTTGGAAATGGAAAATAAATGACATAATAAATAGCTTTTATATATTATTAATTTTAATATTTAATAGTGACCAAAGATGGCGTCTAAATTTCAACAAACAACTAGAAATTTAGCATCAATTCCCAAATATACAATTTTATCATTTCTTTAAAAAACAAGATATATAAAAGGATTCTAAAGTTAATAATAATTTTAAAAATACTAAAGTCTCTAGCTCCTAACTTAATCTTTTTATCATCAAATTTAAATATATTACTAAATTTTCTTAGGAAAAAGAAACCATAATAAATATAATTGTGAATTAATGTATTAAATGAGAATAATTATAAAATAATTAACAATATTTATAATATGAAATCTCACAACAACTAAGGTAGATAAGATTTCTTACAATGGATAAATGAATTAACTGAATGTGATTATCCTAAAGTTGAGGTTATCTTAATAATTTAAAATTAGTTATTATCAGATGGAATTGGTTATTGTTAAATAATAGATGCTTTACATCCAGGAGCAATTTATCTCTCTAAATTAAATTTTATGGCAAGATTTCCTGATGAATACACAAAGAATCTAAAAGTATCATGCATATATATTAATTAAAGGTTCTTGATGATGCATTTTCAAAACTTAAAATTGATAAAGTTGTTCCAATTGATAAACTTAGTAAATGTAAGTTTTAAGACAACATGGCATTTCTATAATGGATGTATAATTATGCATCTAAAATTAATACATTTATTAAAAATTATCGTGGGTATTCAAGAAGATTAGAAGCTTTTGAAAAATAACATCATGGTCGTTATACACAAATGAGTGCACATTTGATACCAAATACTGAATTTTTAAAATTTAAATAAACAGATATTGACGGAAGAACTTTTTTAAAAGTGGAATCGACAAAAATTTAATAGGCTGAAGAAGTTATAAAAGAATTAGAAATTGACATAAAAAATAAAATGGATTATAATTGGAAATTAATCTATGCTTTAGATGACCTATAATATCAAAGAGATATTCTCTTTGGATTATTAACAAAAATTGATTAATGTGTATAAAAAAATAATGATCCAACTGCAATTAAGATGCATAATGTAATTATGGAAGAACCTATAGATTTTTCTGAAAAATGAATTACTATTTTATCTATAGTTATTATATATTGTTTATCAATAATGATTAAATTATGTTATATTCTCTGTAATAAAAAGTGGATGTATATTCTATAAAACACTTAAAAACTTAAAAAATTATAAAATGTTAAGAATTTTTGATATCGACAATAATTTCAATTATCTCATACTGAAATATATTTATGAGGATAAGACAACAATGAATGTGAAATTAAAGCAAATAAATAAAAATTTATTTTAATGTTATCAAGCTCATAAAAATCCTAAGTTTATAAAAGAACTTCTTATCTGACTGAATCTGTCTCTATACCTAATACAGCCAGACCTTAATCATCCTACGTGAGTACATTGGAAAAAAAAGAACTTAGAAGGTACATTTAATTTCTAATTAAGATATCCTACTGAATGGGCTGAATAGGTTGATAATAAAACAGACAATAGGTTTCATCATGTCATCTTGAATTAAAGTAAAGCTGAGCATAATCCTAGTTTGGCATCTCCTAGTAAAATTTTTGGATTGACTGAAAGGTTACTTTTCAATCTATTTCAATAGTCGACGATTGAATACATAAAATGACGATTTACTTTCAGCTTTTAGAAGAAAAAATTAATCTTTAGGCAACTTAGGAAGTTGGTAATTCAATAGTACTCCTGTTGCTAATCAATCCCAAAATACTTAAAGTAAAGTTTCATCGACTTAAAAACCACAACCCATGTTATCAAGAAAATTAGATTAATCTGTCCCTCTTAGAGATTTGTTAGAGTTATCTAAATAATTAGATTCAGCTACACCAGATGAGATAAAATAATTATCTAGAGGATACGTTAATGAGCTTGTCTAATTATAATAGACAATTACAAGATCCTTAAAATATGTTAAAAGATGAAATGTATAATTAAATCAGCTAATCAGAATTTATTATTATATTGTATATTTAAGGAAACCTTAAATATATTTTATTAGAATCAATTATCTAATTCCTAATTTAATATCATTCTATTAAATTGATCCTAAATGAATCTTATTCAGATATACATTTATTAACAAGCAGAAAAAATTGAGAATTAATTAAGGATTACTAATTCTGATAATCTTTAAGAGTAAAAAATAATTTATTTCTATATTTTTTGTATTATATGAAAAATCGATATTCCATGCTATCAGAGAATCGTATCATTCTATTCTATAAGGTAGAGATGTTATGTTTTAAATTAGTGAAGAATATTAAAATTTATAGAACCGATATCATGAATTAAATAAAAAGAAAAAAAATGCTTTTTTTCATTTTAATTTAACTTTAAAAAATGAATTTTTAAAATTAGATAATTTAAGCAAAATTGCAAATATAAAATCTGTTAATTTAGTTAGATGAATAATGTTGTCTTTAATCAAAATTATTAGTATCATTTCATTAATTTGTTTTTATTGCTTTCATTTTTTGTTATAATCTTTATATAAAGGCGAATTAACTCTTCTATATCAGTTTTTTTAATTGCTTGATATTTAAACATACAGCAAGTAAAGAAATCTTTAAAGATCCTTGATTCTATATTAATGATTAATTGCTCAATTATTTTAATATATAATGATTTAAAATTTAATAATTTATATAAAATATAATATATAATGAAGCAGTTTATTTAGTTTATTTTCATATTAATTTTTAAAAACTCATCATTAATTTATTATTTTTTTTCTTTTTTAAACATTGGTTAGATGATTATTTTACATCTAAATTAAAAATCATAAATATTATTCATTCAATTAAATATTTAGATGTTTGAGATTTTATATTTTATTAAAATAGTATAGTCAACATGTGATTATACTAGTTTCGATCAATTCTAACTGAGGAGTAACAATTTTTATCAAGAGCATAGTTATGTAAGAGGAATCCAATATGCATTTGGAGTTTGGACTTAATTTGCACCTATAAGAAAAAATTCATACTCAAATAAATCGAAATCTTACTTTGATTCTTAAAGAAATTTAGATGGTTTTCATATTCTCAATTTTTAAAACGATGGGAAATTATAAACCTTGTTTTACTAATAACCTATATATGAAACAGCTTATCCAACTCTGATGATTTTGTAATACACATAATCAGGAGTAATACCTTATAAGATATAAGAAGGTCTCTTTTATTATGAAGGATATTGGATTTTTACTTATTTTAGTTTTAATTATGATAACAAGTATAATTTTGCATCTTACAGTACTGGAGATGATCGTTTTTTTAATTTTTTAGTTACAAATAGAAGGCTCTAAGCATAAACAACAAATGCAAAACTGGAATATGGAGGATAAGGAATTTATAATATAGGAACTAACTAATATAATATGAATATTTTTCTGGGCAGAATTTCAATAATAACAACATTTTAATATTCAATAATATTTTTCAATAATAATGATAAAGCCAAATTTATTTCATTTATTTCCACATGTTCAATTCCTTAAGCATGCTAAGATTAAGTTGAGGTATTATTTTTTAAAGATCCTTGTAATAAAAATAATTGTACTCATCGTCAATTCCATGTAGATATTCCAGGATTACGTCATATGTTTGATTTTTGGATAAAAAGAGAATCTTAAAAAGTACATTCAGAAAAAGAGATAATATTTTCATATGGAGGTTTATTTCAGAATTTAGAACCATTCTATTAATTGGTTTTATATTGGAGAGTTGTAAATCAGCATGTAATACTTCTCCATCATCTAGATATTTATTATTTAGTACCTGGAGAATTAGAAACGCAATACAATGATAATTTTTTAATATAATTATATAAACCTAGATCTAATTATGAACAATGGTGTTATTTGAAGTATGAATTTTTGAAAATAGGAGTTTATCAATATGTTTATCTTTCTATTTTTTAATCATGCTGTGATATTTGGGAATAGTATTATATACTCAATTTTGCTTATTATTAATAATATTCTAATTACTAAGCTACTCTAACACTTTTTACAGAATCAGTTAATGGAACAATTGTTCCATTTGAAGGCTTAATATCAAATTTAAGATTTAGATATTGCTATACTGTAGATTTTTAATTTGGAAAGGAATTTAATATAAGTATTTTAAGAATAATCATGATAGATTGCAATGCGTTATGTAAGACTTGTACAGGACCAACAAAGTATGATTGTGCATCATGTTATGATGATTAAAATAGATATTTACAATCTGAAATTCAACAATGTTTATGTCAATTTGGGTTTTAAGAATCAGACAGCTTAAAATGTCAAAGTAAATTAATGTTATTAAATAAGAAAGCTTTTTAAATTCAATTTCAGAATATAAAGAATTATATAAAGAATTATATAAAGAATTTAGTATAATTGAGACTTAATAATTGTTAATGTGTAAATATGGTTACTTTGAAGTATGGAAAGATCTTCAATTTATAGGTTGTATTTAATGGTATTAATAAAATTAATTATCTAGTCCTTATTTTAGTTAATCTAATAATTAAATAAGATGTTTAAATTGTTTATTGGATTCTCATAAATGGTATTTAAAACCAATATGCAATATTGATTATTAGAGTAACGGTTCTGATTAATATTTTTATGAATAATTAGATTATCTATCTTAAGAATTGTTTATAATTCATATTGATTTAATGGTCACTGAATTATGTAATGGATGTGAAAAAATTGTTGAAGTAAAAAGTTAACATTCCATTATTAAATTTGTTAATTCATAAAAAATTCTATTTTAATGTAAATCATTTCTATATGTTAATAATAATTCTTGTTAATTTTGTGATTAAAATTGTTTAAATTGCAAAGAAAATGGAGAATGTATGCAATGTGATGAAGCATTATATTTAAAAAATGGAAAATGTAATCTATGTCCTGAAGAATGTACATTTTGTAACTTAAATACTGAAATAGATATAATTTAATGCAAATATTGTAAAAAAGGTTATACCTTAATTAACTATAATTGTATAAAATGTGGATATCTTTGTGATGATTGTGAATAAAGGATAAATAAAAAAACAGGTTTAAATTATAACAAATGTTTAAAATGTAGTTTTAATACTTACATATCACTTGATGGAGAAAGTTGTTATTTTAATACTTTAGAACATTGCATTTATCCTTTTCAATTCTCAATAGTTGACAATTCTATAAATACTATTCTAGTTGATTTTCAACCTGAAGAAATTGAAAACATAAAAAGTGGTTGTACATACTGTTCATCTATTTCATATCTAACTCCTACTGATAACATTTTTACTTGTACTCCATAAGGAATTGATGAAATTAAGGATGGCTGTTATTAAATACTTAATTTATCTGGATATATGGATTGTTCAATTGGAATAAATAATTTAATGGATGTAGGATTTAGTTATTGTACTCAGTTTATTCCTCATTGTTTTGCTTGTATAAGATTAAATTGGGAATATGGTAATGTATGTTATTTATGTGATGATGGTTATTATAATGATTATTATACCAGTTTTTGTAAGAAATGTGATCCTGAATGTGCATTATGTATATAGACTGATTCTTCAAAAATTGTTAAATCATCTATCCTAAAAATAATCTCAATCATAAATGATTTTTAAGGGCTTTTACATTACTAATAATTGACTTAAAATCCTAATAATAAAGAAATTAATATAATTTGTACTAAATGTGCAGATGGTTATGTTTAATACTAAAACAAATGCATTTAGAAATGCCCCATTTACTGTAAGGAATGCAAAATTTAAAATGATTAACATATATGCATTTCTTGCATTTAATTTTAGAATTCTTATTATTAAATATATAATGGAACTTGTATTTAATGTCCTTCAAATTGTAAATCATGCTATCCAAGACAATATGAAGAAAAAACATAGATCAATCCATATTTTTAAAACTATGATTTCGATTACTTTTCTAATAAATGTATTACATCATCTTCTAATGATTTATATTTTGACTAAGATATTCACTAATTTATTTAATGTGAGAAATTTAAAGAAGGATGTTAAAATTATATTGAAATTAATTTATACATATATTGCAACTAAATTGATTTAGATAATTATATTAATTCTTTGGATTAAAATTAACAAGATATTTAGAGAAAATTTCATATTCTTTTATAGAATATTAATCTCTCACTTTATGAGTATCATGAATATTAATTATATCTTAATTAAAATTTTATCAAGAAATTTACTTATTAATTTAAATTTGTAGAGAATTAAACTTGTAATTTAAATAAAGATTTGTTTATTTAATCAAATTTACAAACAAACTGTTTCAATTTGATAGAATTGAACTTATATATCAATGGAGCTAATAGTAATGTTATCTTGAATAACTTATTACATATTTCTAATTTTACTCACATTACTATTTAAAATTTTAATATTCACATATAAGATGGAAGAATTGAATTAAACAATATTAAATGTTATAGCATAAAGTTTTAAACAATCAATTTGATTCAGAATTAAATTGAAAATAAGTTATTTGATAATTTAATCTTAATTTAGGAATCTTGTGAACTTGTAATCTTAAATTTTTCTATCTACAATTTAAACCTTCATTCATAAAATGGATTATTTTTATTTACCAATAAATTTTCAACATCGAGTTTGATTATTATCAGTTTCACAATAAAATAATCCTAATTTTACAATACTTATACTTTTAATTTTTAAACAAAACAATTATTAACAGTTGACATTAAAAATCTTTTTATTTAAAATTCAAAATTTGAAAAAACTATTCTATTAAATTAATCATACGAAAATAAAAAGATAAAAATTGAAAACTTTATTTTTTAAAATTCAAATATTATAAATACCTTTAGCTTTTTAAATTTTCAGTCCACACAATTAGTTGAAATAATCAAAATCTAAATTTTGGCTTCAATTTTATAAGATTCAATTTTTCTATCAAGCTCAAAAATTCTAAATTTGAGAGAATTTGGTTTTTAAGATCTCAATTTATAAGGCTAGTCAACACTTATAACAAATTCAAATCTAATAAATTTTGAAGAGATATCTATATAGAATGGTTACTTTAAAGATAATGTTTATTCAAATAAAAATGCTTTTATTTTATTACTAAATTTATAATCAGTTTTATTAGAATCAGTAGAAATTATTAATAATTCAATTATAAATCAAAATCAAAAAGATTCTTTTATAAAAAACATTGAATTATCAACAATTAATATTTAATCTATTAAAGTTACTTTTGATAAATTGCTTATATAGAGAGGAATAGGGTTTTCTGAATTTACAATAAAAAATACAAAGACCTTTTAATTACTTAATTCTGCAATCACTCTATATGAAAAATATTAATTTAAAAGTCTTTTTAATAATCATGAATGTAATTTAACTTCATTAAATTAATTTTTGTATAATAATCTTATAAACTTTTAAGATGTTTCATAAATTTATTTTGAAAATACAAATGTTAGTAATTTAATTTTGTACGATTCAGTATTATTTGAAGTTCAAGAAATATCCTAATAATAATCAGATATTATTATACTTAATTGTAATTTTTATTCTAATATATTGCATCAAATAAATAAATATTAAAAGATATCATTAATCTCAATTAATTCAAATTTTGACTTGAATTTAAACATAACTTAGGTCAAATTTTCTGAAAATTTATAAAATTTATAAAAAGAAAGCAACCCAAAAAAGTAAAGCCTAATTTTAATAGTAGAAGCCTCTTAATCACAAACCTTTTTAATAAATTGTATTATAGAGAATAATATGAATTTAAATGGTTTAGGATCAATGCTTTATGTTGACTCTGATTAAATTGTTATAGAAAATTCACGTTTTTTTAGCAATTCAGTATTTCTTTATGATACTTTGAAATAATTTCTAAGATGGGGTTTAAACTAAGAAATCCATTTAGAAAATTTATAGAGATTATATGTCATATCAAGTAGTGGAGGAAACGGAAATTTATAATGTCGATCAATTCTTTTGAAAAATATACATTTAGCAAACTCTATTTCAAAATATGGTGCAGCATTTGTATTTAATATGGTAGAAAATGGAATCATTTAAATTGTTAATTCAACTTTTGAAAATCTCGAAAGTGATTTGATTGAATCAATTTAAGGAGGAGCATTTCATATATCATCTTAATCTTCATATTTAGGTATCAAAGTAACAAATACAAAATTCATGAATATTTCAACAAGAAAAGCTGGTAGCATTTTTTATATTGTACCTTCGAAGATTTAAGTTAGTGTGTCAATTTATTATTCAACTCTTCAAGACATATTCTCAATTTAAGGAGGATTAATATATGTAGAAAAATCAATACATTAAATCTTCTTTTTTGAGATGCTTAGTTGTTTTCTTACATAAAATTAACAGAATTTCATAAAATATATTAATTCATTACCAGATTTATCAAATAATGAATTAGATATTTTGACATTAGAATATTCATTCATATATTGTTATGATTGTCAAATTAAAATCAAAGATTTTTCAATTTCAAATTATATATTTATACCTTTGTTTTAATTTTACGGAAACATTAATTTATTGAATATTCTTATATCAGATACTATATTTTCCAATCGATTATTACAATTTTCAACATTAAAAGAATCAGATTAAATAATTCTTCATAAATTAGAATTGAAAAATTGTACCCAAATGACAGTTACAGACAAAATACCATAATAATAAAAAGGAAATCAATTGATTAAAAAATTATTAGTAACATCTTGTAGTCATAATTTAATTGACGCTCCATAAAGTGTAGGAAGTTATTTTGAGATCTTTTCTAATTTTAATGAGATAAATTTATTATAAAAGCTATTTGACTCAATATTATAATCGACAACAGCAATGGTTTTATTTACAGGTTTTGAATTTCAAAATAAGATTAAACTTTTCTAAGTAATTCTGTAAAATAATGATTGCAATTATTGTTTGAATGGTTTATTAAATTTTAAGATTAGTTAAAAATCTGTTATAATAATTGAATAGATTACTGTTTAGAATTCTAAATGTGGAATAAATGGTTGTATATCCTTTCTTTCATTTTAGAGTCAACGTATTCTTTAAAATTAAGATTTCTATAATTCTTTGGAAAAATCAAATATTCCAATTCAGATATCGTAATTGTTATGTAAGAATAATTAAGCATAAAATGGAGGATGTCTATATATATAAAATTAGAAAATATAGTTAATTTCAAGTTTAATTTATGGCAATAAAGCATAGTATGGTGGAGCTATATTTACTACTGGAAACACTTCAACTTTAATTTCAAAAGATTTAACAATTATAAATAATACAGCAAAATTTGGCAGTGGAATTTACAATTAAAACAATTTAAACAGAAATATTTAAGGATTGAAATTAATTGATAATAAAGGTTTGAATTAAATTGTAGAATATCCTTAATAAATTTACTTAGAAATTTTAAAAAATAAAATGTTTATCCCAACAATTACATAATAAACTTCAAATCTATAAATTGCTGAAATAATGGCTGAAAATGGCCAAAGGATAATAATTAATGTACCTACAGGAATTCCTTTAGCTTAATATAAAAAATTCGAAATAGTAAAAAATAAATATAATTCTTAAACTATGGAAATGAATTTATATGGTATTAATTCATAGTTAGAAATAGTTCAAAATTTAACAAATACTTATTGTGAATTATCAATAAAGAATATTAATAGCGAGCTTGGAAAAAAGTAAAATCTAAGATTAAATAAATATAAATTTTACTTCAATTAATCAACAAATTCATATAATTTAAATGATTTAGTTTTTTTGATTCCATAAGATTTAAATTAAACGTTTGAATTATCGATATAATGTAATAGCATTTATGTTCCAATAGTAAATAAAATAAACAAATTTATTGAAGGGTAAAATTATTTTAAATATTTAGATATCACTAAAATTACATTTTGAAGTTATTGATTAAATCTTATGAATGTTAATTGGGAGAGTATAGTTAAAATAGTCAAGATTATTGTCATTAATGTAATGTAGATTAAAAATAATATTCTGTCACTATAGGTGCTACTTATTGTTAAATAATTGATGATAGAAAAATCTAAGAGATAACTTAGGCTTAAATATTTTTGAGATAGGTTTATTATTTTATTATTTTTTAAGGGTTATTGGAGAATTTCTGTAACTACTTCACAAATAGATTTTTGTTTAAATAGATATTAAAATTGCATAGGTGGTTGGGGAGTTGGAAATGATTTATGTTAAAAAGGATATATTGGAGCTCTTTGTGAATAATGTGATTATTATAACATAAGAGGAGACGGAGGATATTAAAGAATTCATTAATTTTAGTGTTAATTTTGTGAAGCTTAAAGTCTTTAGCAACTTATAAATTTAACAATTACATTAATAATGTAAGAATAACTAATTATTAAAGATTCTTTGTACTTTATTTAATTATTAATTATTTGGCATAGAAAAGACTTTAAAGAATTCGTTAAAATTTAACACAATTCAAAGGTTCCTTTAATTTATATTATTCCAAATAAAATGAAATCTTAATAGGTTAGAGCATAAAAATTATATTGATATATTTTTAGATAATTAGTTTGACTTAAGAACTGAATTCTACATTTTCAGATGGAATCTAATAACTTATCAATTATTTAGGAAATCCATTTACACTTTTAGGAGTATTCAAAGATTGTCAATTACTTGACTTAGGTATCAATGTAATATATTTATAAATTCTTTAAAACTTTTTATGCCTGCTTATAATAATAACATTATTTGTTTGCATTTGTTTTTGTATGATTTTTTTTTTTAAATAAAAAATCACTTAAATGGCGTTTTTTAATTTTACATACTTGCTATATATATTTATTGTAGGTAGTTTTATAAGATCTATGTTTTAATTAATCGGATTTAGAAATATTCAAAATGTTTATTGGATATATAAAAATGTCACTTATAATTATTGGAATATTAATCATCTTAGATTAGTATTTCTATGTTTTTTACCTATTATTGTAGGTTTAGGAATAGTTTTACCTACCTCATTATTACAAAAATTGAAGAGGGGTTTATTCTTAAAAAATAGAGTTCCTTTTAAGGACTTTGGATTTTGGTTTACGTCATATTAAATAAAACGCTATTAATGGGAAATTTATAAATTATTTATTTCTTATGGCATGATTTGTATAGTTATAATGATTGATGCCAATACAACTTTAAGAGGGTCAATATCATATGCCTTATTAATTTGTTACACAAAATTATTTTAAGACTATTAAGTTTATAATAATAAAAATATGAATAGATTTGAAAATAAACTTAATATTCTGAGTATCATCATTTTAATATCATGTACTTTATTATCAATAGATGAAAATAAGAATTCCATTTTTAATGATATAATTATCATTTTTATGAATGTCATATTTAGTTTTGGATTTGTTTTTATGATACTTCATTTTTGGCAACTTAATTCATCCTCAATAAAAATAGTTTTATGTGAAATTTTTTAAGAATTAGGATAATATTTTGATATTTTCAATCGTTTTAATATATTTAAGCTTCATTCCAAAGCTTCTATATAACAATAATAAAGAAGATTTGAATTGTTAAAGGAATTTTTAAAATAAAAAAGCAAAGAATAAATAATTATTAAAAAAGAATTTTAAGACTCAAATGAGAGTTTCAGATATTGAAATTTTTAATGGAAAATATATTTTATTATTATTTTTTTTATAATTTTTAATTTGATAAATGAATAGATTCTAAATAATTAAAGTCAGCCTTTTATTGATAGATTTTATAAGATAAACTATTCAATGTGATTCCAATACTTTGGAAGGTTGTTTGATAAATAAAAATATTGAGACAACTGAAAAATCTCTAAAGGATCTAACAGCATATGGATATGGTTTTTGGTTTTAATATATTTCCACACAATTAACTTTATACGAAAGTTTATTGACATTTTCTTAAATTGAGGGCCTATTATTATTAAGAGAAGTTAATCCTGAAAATTAACAATTCAAAACACTCTTTTATTAAGATTGGACTAATAAAAATGAAAATTAAGAGAAATATTTATATTTAAAATTTGAATTGAATAATGAGATGATTTAATAAGGAAAATTCATATTTAATTCATTTACTTTTGAAGGTAGATGGATTTATATTTATATTTCTTATCAAATTCCTAATGAAAAATAAATAATATTGTATGACAATTCAGATAATAGTTGTTAAAGAATGCATTTTTAATAAGAATACAATTTATAGTAGGATTAAACATTTATAATATAAGGGGGAGAATTATAAAAAATAAATGATAATGAAAAAAAGGTATATGCCTATTACCCTGGTAGAATTTCAAGACTTTACTTTAATAGTAATTAGAATGAAGTAATATTTTAATCTGATTCATAATTTGAAAAATATCTGAATATATAATTCATACCATAAGCAGTATGTTAGACACACTCATATGATTCAAATTTAATTGAAAACTATATATACTAATATGGATTAATATAATTAGAATCTTGGGTCAAAATTGACTATAATTTAGTATTATTTGTAATTATAATAGAATATTAATTATTCAGCAAGTGTTTTTGGAGTTGAAATATTTTTCATGCCTTCTCTAAATGGATATTAAAAATTAGTTGATTTATAGTATTGTCTTCTTTAGGCTTGGACAGCAGATTTAGCAAATGGTGTGTATTTTTAGACCTATAATCAGGATTCCCCTGATTTTTATCCAAATTATGATCAATTTTTCGATAAATAGGATATTGCTTTTCATACTTTAGAGTAAGATTTAAAATAATGGCATTATGTGTCTATTCTTTATGGATTTGACAAATAATAAATGGCAGTTTCAAATTTAAGAATGTGGTTTATAGATGGACATATTTATGATGTTTAATATCATAATAAGACTTATCATTTTGAAGGAAATAATATAAAAATGAGAAGTGGATTACTTTTTAGTGCTGCATCAGATGGAATGTTTATAACAACAGAAAGTAGTAAAATAACAATTTGTATACCAGATTCCTATGATTTAATAAAAAGTAATCTTTTTTTTTGAATAAAAGAGTGTCATTATAGTTGTTAAGATTGCAATGGACCTTTCCTTGATTAATGTATAATATGTGATACAAGTTCTAATCGATATTTAGAAAATGGTTATTGCAAATGTAGTTTAAGTTTTATAGAGAATAATTATGGGTAATGCATATGTAAAATTAATTATTAATGATTAGAACTTATACATTTTTATCCAAACTCTGTTCAACAATATAATTCAAAGAATTAAACTCTATCTTAATTTGGATTTTTTCCTATCAATAATATGGATAATGAAACTATTTATTTACGTTGTCCTTAATTTAATCAAAATTAATCTCAAAAAATAAGCTGTATAGAATGTTTAAGTTAACCACAATAATTTGCTAAAGAATTAAAATGTAAATCTGATTACATATTTAATGAATATAATTAATATGAATTGATCTAAAGAAATGAAAATGATATTGAATTATACATCATAGATGAATAAACATCCTCAATTACATTGTGTGTTGGATGTAAATAAATTTGTAATAGAGATGTGAATGAAAATTGTTATATGCATACTTTACTTCAAGTAGCTATAACATGTTAATCATAATTTTTTTATAAAGAAGGAGAATGTTAAGCATGTCATCCAAATTGTCAAACTTGTTCAGATTTTGCAATCTGTACATCTTGTTTCAATTTAATGACTTTGAATATTAAAAAAAATGAATGTTTAAAATGTCCTAAAGAATGCACAGAGTGTGAATATTAAATGGGAATAAAATGTATAAAGTGCATAGAAAAATATTCATTATTTTAAGAGAAATGCTATCCTTGTGGAAATAACTGTTTAGAGTGTTAATTTATTTAAGATTCAAGAGATGGATCTTATTATAATAGATGCAAAATATGTTTAGACAATAAAAAGTATTATCTCTCAATAAATGCAATTGATTGTATTGAAAATTAAGATACTTAATGTAAATTTGCAATTTAATTTCATAAATCTTGGTTAATGAGAACATCAGTTAATACAATGTTTTATATGTTTGAAAAAGGAGATTTCAATTCTAATTAAATTATAAATTATTGTGCTTTGTGTGATGAAGGTTATGCTTCATTATTGACTGGATAATGTGTCAGAATCGATTCTTTACCTGTTGATACATTTTATAAATAATATTGCACTTAAATGTATTAAATGGAAAAGTATTATGCATTAGAATTAAATATATAAGAATATATATGTCTTGTATATACATAAGAAATTAGATAGTTGTTTTCTGTCTCAAATGGTTGTGACTTTATACTGTAGAATTGTGCTTATTGTTTTAGTAATACTTGTCTTCTTTGTTATCCAGGCTATTATACTCAATTGGTATCTGGATAATGTATTGAATGTCCAAAGTAACTTAATTGTTATAAATGCGAATAGAGGTCTAAAATATGGAAAAATGGTTGGAAAGTCTGGTATGGAATGGTTCATTTTATGATGAAAAGAAATATATTCTATGATGACATTTTTGGAAATGAATCATAAGAATAATTGGAAGTTGTTTGTAAAACTTGTACAATAGATTATGAATTTTACTAAGATAAGTGTATAAAGAAATGCCCAGATAATTGTGAACTTTGTGTGAAGAATAATGGGTAAAATTAATGTATGAAATGTAAAATGTATGAAGGAAGACCCTTGTCTTTATATAATGGAATTTGTATAGATTGTCCAAGATATTGTTAGATATGTAAACCAAAATTTAATGATTAATTGAGAAATACTAATCCATATTTCTCTAATGAAAAAGTTATATCATCAACTCATACTTGTTTAATGTTATAAATTGGATTAAACTATTAAGACTATTATTACAATACCAATTTTTAATAATTCTTCAAATTAAGCACAACTGGAACAGATCCTAACTCTATTATTTTTTAATTTAATCTATATTGTAGTATAGATCTCTATAACTAATAATTAGAGTTGGCTTCAGATTAATAACTATTTCTTCATTCTAATGTTAGAATTGATGAACTTGTTACCAATAATAAATCTTAAAGTAATTTTGGAAGAATTGAAAACCTTAATTTATTCACCTATCTTAGTATTCAATAAATTTAAGAAGTTGAGCTTTAATTCACTCTAATATAAGATTGTATTTTAAATGAGCATTCTTATATTTTTACCACTTTAATTTAGAATATATTTTTCATGAATATAGCCAAAATTAAATTGCTAGGAAATGGAAATACATTATTTCTTAAATCAAATTTTGAAATACTTAATTTTGATTCCATTGTTATAGAAAATCTAATCATTATACCCTATCTAATTGTAAATATTCATTTACAATCTCTGAGTGTTTTAAGTGTCACTATTCATTCTGTTGTTATTCAACAATAAAAAGAAGATTAGTTTCCAGTCAGGTTTACCATATTATCCACTAATCTCAACTATTTATAGATTTACAATTTTACTACATTAAATCTTAAATTATAATCTGTTACTAGTTTATTTTAATTAGAATATTCTGCTAATCAAAAATTGATTAATATTTATTTTGATGGATTTACTATAAGAAACTCAAATTTATAAAATTCAAATATCATTTTATTAGATAATTATGCTTAAGAATCTACGAATTGTGATTTTAATAATATACTTATCACAAACTCGACGCTTTCTTCAAGTTAATTTCTTACCACTCTCAATCATCAATAACTTTACATCACTGGATCAATATCTCAAATAGTAATCTAATTTTCAATCTTATCCAATATTCAACCTTTATTTTTAACTAATAGTATGCAGAATTTAAATATAAGAGGAATATTCTTAGAAAACTCTTCGTTTAAGAATTTTTCATTATTCTAAGTATCAGCTAAATCAATAAATAAAGATTACTATATTAGTAATTGCTAATTTTATAATAGTTCAATTATTGTTTCACTCTTATAATAATAGTTTGAATATGCCAATTTTGACAGCATTCATTTTTTTCAAGTATAACACGATGAATCAACTGTTTTCATTAAATTATCTTCAAACAGTATTAATAGCAAAGTTATAATTACAAATATTTTACTAAGTGAAATTATTTTGTAGGATAATGTTTCATTGGCTAAAAGTTTATTATCTATTTAATCAATTATTTTTATTTCATCAAACTATATTCATATTTATAATGTTTAGATTAATAGATCATAAGGTTTATCAGAATTTTAATTATCTTCAGCAGATAATTTAATACTTGAAAATATTACAATAACTTTAATTTAAAATTATTTTTACAAAAGTATAAATACAAATAATTAATGCTCTAAGTAAATAAAAAATACAAAATATACAAATTTTTTGACTATCTAAAAGGTCTAAAATATAACTATTAAAAATATTTCAATTTCTAACCTTATAGTTTCGGATGTCCCTTTAATCTACATTGTTTCAATAGCTACTTAAGTTATGAGAAGATAAGAAATTATAATTATCGAGCATTTAAACATAAGTAATTGCATAATCCTTAATACATAAGCAATAAATTAAATATCTAATATACTTATTCAATCAGAATAATAAATAGAAATTGATATCAAAAATTCATTTTTCAATGATAACATTTATTTTTCATATTTCAAAGAAAAGGAGTCTGAATCTGCGTTAATAATAGTTATAATTGCTTATTATTCAAAAATATAACTTTTTGATTGTAAATTTATATAAAATTATGTATGTTAAAGCTAGAACACTTTACTCTATTTATATGGTGAACAAATTAAAATACTTTAATCCTCATTTGTTTCTAATAATAGAATGTTTGAAAATTTTATAAATCATGTAAATTGGTAATATCGGCCTTTTACAATCACGTTAGATGAAATTGAAAATTAATTTTAGGTTCTTTCACAAAGTGGTAATGGTAATCTTATAGCATCTTCAATTTAAATAAAAAATACTAATATTCTAGATAGTTTTTCAATTTAAGCAGGATGCTTTAAAATTATTTTAGAAAATGAAGGATTGATCCTAATACAAAATTCTCTATTTAAGAATATCAATACATAGATTTCATAAGAATAATCTTATGGTGGATGTTTTTATGTAATAGATAGAAGCATAAATATTCAAATTAACATGTTAGATTCCATCTATTAAACAATTATTGGAACTGCTATTGGAGGAATTATATATTTGAAGCCAAATGCTTAATAAATTAATTTTAATTTCACAAATTTAACAATAATTGATGTTTTTTCAAATGATGGAAATATAGCTTAACTTAATTTTTTGAATTATGAATAATCTTTTTACATGTCGAATTGTGTAATAATATAAACATTAGAGGGTTATATAAAATTTAGATCAATATTAAAAGAAATAAAAAAATATGAGCTTACCATGATTTCTATTTAATAAGGCTACATAATTTTAAGAAATGTTTTTGCTAAATTATATTTAAATATATTATTGTACTTAACTTATTAAAGCAAAATTAGTTTTACATCAATTGAAATCGATGATTCTTACTATTATTAGAAGCCTATTATTTCTGTTAGCTTTGCTGTAGGTACTTGATTATACAATTATTAATTTAGATTAAATTTCGAAAATTGAAATAAATGGTCTTAAAATCAAAAACCTTAAACTGTACATAGAAGATCCAAGTTTATCTATAATTCAAATTTAATAAAAAATAGAGGATGAGAACAAATTCATATTAGATTGCCAAAATAATTATACCATAAAACTTAAAAATTCAACTTATAAATTAATAAAATTATAAGAATTATTAGAATAACCCTAAGACTACATTAAAAACTTAGTTGAAATTATAAATGTAAAAAACAAAGACTAAATTTCAATAAAATAAAGTTAATTTCTAAATAATACATGTTCTAATTGTTAGTAAGGGTTGTTCTATCTAAGAATAATTGAAGAATAATCTAATAATATTTTTTTATAAAATATATGGTTGATGGATAATAATTGTGGTTAAAGGGGATGTTTATAATTTGTTTAAGATGATGAAAGTAAAAAAAACAATAGCATTTCTGTATACACAATTGACACAATGTTTTGTTATAGAAATTACGCAAAAAGAGGTGGTTGTGTAGGGAGCAAAGGAATAGGAATTAAAATAGCAAATAGTATTTTAAGTCAAAATATTGCAGGTGAGTAAGGAGGAGGTGTTTACTATGAAGGGTAAACTACAAACTTTATATTTTAAAACAATCTTATTGTTTCAAACACTGCAAAAGAAGGAGGTGCCATTTATTTAGGAACATATAATCTTCCTGAATTAAATAAAACATTAAATTACTTAAATAATAATAGTGCTTACCAATATGGAAACACTAGCTCTTCACATTCAACTTAACTAACAGTATTGTATAGAAATACATAATTTAGAACACTTCATGTTTTAGAAAATGGTATTTTAAATGCTTACATATCAAATTCAAGTGATTTTTCTAATAAATATATATTAAAATTACCAAGTGGTTAAAAAATTTCCTCTTATTAATATTTTAACATGATTAGATAGGAATATGAAAATTTAAATTTAAAATTTAGAGTCTTAGCTCTAAATGCTTATAAAGAATAATAATATAATCTTAATAATACTATATGTATAATTGAAAGTGGTATACAATAAGATTAAAAGGATTATATTTTCACAAATAATTATACAAATTATAATCGAAAAGTCTTTGATTTATAAACTTAAGATTATAATTTAGACGATTTAATTCTATACTATGGAAATGAAGTTAATGAATCAATATTAATCCTTAAAATAAGTTGTGATAGTGTTGAAATTCCTATATATGATGAGGCTTTTCCATATTAGATAAATAATTACAACTCAAAATATTTCTTATATTTATATATCTAAACGTTTCCTTGCCAATTAGGAGAATATAAAAATCTAACTGATAATGCTTGTTATTTATGTGATATAAAAAAAAAATAATATTCGGTTACAAGAAATGCCACAGAGTGTAATTTTATGGATGAAGACACTACAATATCAATAACACCTGCTTAAATATAATTAAAATCTGGATATTGGAGACCTCATTTGGATATTTAAATTGTTGAGTATTGTTAAAACAGAATTGAAAACTGTTTAGGTGGATGGACATAAGGAGATGAAAGCTGTGCAATTGGTTAGATAGGAGCATGTTGTGAATCTTGTGATCATTACAATACTAGAGGATAAGGTTAATATAGTCAATAGAAATTGTATCAATGTTAAAAATGCGAGGATTTGGATAAATAAATACTTTATATCATATTGATAATCCTCTGGTATATATTTTCTATTTTATTAAAGGAATTTGTTTTCAATTTATCTATCAACAAATGGAGTTAAAAATATGATTTTAGAACTATAAAGAAATAAAATTGGAACAAGATAATTGCTAATTAACCATAACAAATAAACTGGCCCAATTATGAAGATGTTTGTTAATTATCTTCAGATAGTGGCTATTATTTTAAATTTTAATGTTGAAATTCCATAAGTATTTAAAGATTATTATAATATTGTTGGTAATTCTCAAACCATGCTATTAATTACAACAGATTGCTTTTTAGCCTAAAATTTTTAAGCTGGACTTATATATGTAAAAATAATTTATAGTATAATTTGTCCTATTGTTTATGGGCTCATTTTTTTATTTATTTATTTCATTATGAAAGTCTTCAATAAGATCGATTATAACCAAGTAGTGATTACAACCTGTATTTTATATTTGTTTTGTTATTATCAAATTTAAGTGATTCAGCTATTGATATCCTCATTATCTTTTAGAACTTTATCAGGAATTAAATGGATTCAGGCCAACTTATCATATAGCTTTGATGCTTAATCCCATTAATAGTGGATTCCTTATCTTATTACTCTTACAATTATTATTGGAGCAATAATACCAGGAATATTTACATTATGTTTAACTAGATATAAAGATTCATTACAAAGATATGATATTAGAAGATAATGGGGATTTTTGTATTTAGAATATTAGCCTAAAGCTTATTTTTGGGAAATTATTAGGATTATCAGTAGAGAAATGATTATAATTGCTATAACATTCTACTAAGATAATTTAGTGATTAAATGCACCTTATTATTCATTATTATGTTTGCCTATTCTTATACTAATTATATTGTTTTACCTTTTAAAACCAAAAAATTTAATTAGCTTGAATAAAAAAGTATTTTATTATGTACTTTTACATTATTTGCAGTACTCTCATTATCTTAGACAAATAGATTTTATACAATTATTTTATTTTCAGTAATTTTAACTAATTTATATATTCTAATAACATTCCTTAAAGGTTTGATAAACGGATATTTGTAGGCTTATGAGGAGTTAATAGATAAGATTAAAGATTTTCTTAAAGATAGATTAAAATCAAAACTCCTTTAATACTAATGTTTGGACAGGTGGTTTATTAATAAAAGTTAGAGAAGAAAATTAGTAATTGAGAAATATAAAAAAATAAAAAAATATCTTTATTCAGTTCGTAAAAAGCTTGTTAGTATAGAGAGAAATAAATGTAAATACAATAAATATCAATTTAGTTTCACAAATATCAACATATCGTTCTACAAGTGGATTGATAAGTCCAAGAGATTACAATATTGTGTTTTTGAGACCATAATAAATTCTATCAACAAATAGTGAAAATAATCTAACAAATAATGCTTAAACTAATTTGATAAAAAAAATTATAGGCAAAGAATGACATTTTGTAAAATTTAATTTTGATATTTTTTATTTATATAAACAAATTATATGTCAAAATTTTATATCTTAACATAATTAAAATTTTTTTACTATTATAAAGACAGAAATATAAAATCATATGAAATTTATAAAAATTTTATTAAAACAGATTGTCTCTTAAAATAATTTTTTTACTTATTTTTTTAAATCAAACTATCTGGTTTTAATTTAAATAATGTTATTTCTGATAATTAATGGTTTTTATCATAATTATCAAATAATAAGTATGTCAGACCTTATTTGAATGAAAATTAAAACAAATTAAATTTAGTAAAAGCTTTTAAATCATGAGTCAGACAGCTTAAAAATTCTAAATAAATTTAAAAGTTTTTTTTAAAACAGAATATTCAAAATGAAAAATGCCTAAAATGAAATTCTTTAGTTTTAATTAATGATAATTAAGAGGATTATAAGCTTATTATAAAAAATAATCATGAATTTCAATAATTTTCAAACTGAAAGAATATTCACTTGTAGAGGTGAACTCACAAAACCAGACACTCATAATTTCGCTGAGAATGACTCCCCAGAAAATTCTTTAGTAGAAGGCTTCGACTATATTTGGAGGAAACATTCTCTTAAAATTTTTTGTGCTGCAACAAAGTTTATAGTGAAGTTGAGAAAAGCTGTTGATTAATATCATCTTCGATAAATTACTCATAGAATATATCAAATAATAGGAGACAATGCATCTGATTATTTATTTTACTAATCAAAAGGGCAGGTAAATTAAAAATGGACTTTCAACTAATACATAAAAAGTCTATTAATTTACAATTTTTTAGTTGATATGAACATCAGAGTGATAAAACCAGATAGTAAAGTAAAACTTTTGGTTGATTGTACAATACTAATTTTAATTGTCATGAATATTTTTTATATTCCAATGCAATTATCATTTTCATTACAGGAAAATGCATAAACTGTTGATTTTTTATTTAGTACAATTCCAAGTTGGGTATTCTTGATGGAAATAGTTGTGAATTTTAATACAGCATATTATTACAAAGGAATGATTCATGAAGATCGTTCTAAAATATTCTAGCATTATATAAAAGGTGATTTTTTCAAAGATGTATTGGTAGTGATACCTTTTTTGATATCTCAATATAACATTCCTTATTTAAATTTTGTATTGTTGTTGAGGATGACAAGAGTGAATAAAATATTTGAATAAATAGAAGAAATTACATTAATAAGAGAGAAATTTGCAGCTCCAATAGATGTGATGAAATTAATGCTTTTCTTAATTTTTGTAGCTCATATGAGTGGTTGTGCTTGGCATTATATAGGGATTCAAGAATTGTTTTACAATAATACTGGATGGTTAATAAAATATGGTTACGGAGAGAAGGATTGGATTACAAGATATGTTGCTTCCTTATACTTTGGAACGATTACATCCTTCACTGTTGGTTTTGGAGATATCGTACCATAAACATTAATTGAATAGATTTATTTAATTGTTATGGTTTTAATTACATCATTGGTATTTGGTTACACAATTTCATCAATTTAAAATATTTTTGGATAGTTGAGAGAGAAGACTGATTAGCACAGAAATAAGATGGCTAAAATCAATTCTTATATGAAAAAGAATAAGATAAGTCCAATGCTTTAAATGAAGATTAGGAAATATTTTGAATATTTCTTTACTTTAGATGAGAGTCCGGAATTATTAATGGATAATCTAAATGATGATTTGAAATTAGAACTAAGAACAAGCATATTTATGCCTTTAATGATAAAGTGCAAATTATTTTAAAAGTTTGATGAAAGTCTTTTAAATTAGATTTGTAGTGTTGTATAAACATAGAAATTTATACCTGGATAAATAATTTTTTAGGAAAATGATTAAATGAATAAAGCATTCTTCATTATTTAGGGAGAAGTAGATATATAAATTAATAAAGTCTCAATTCAATTAAAATCAGAAGGATCTTTGGGAGTTCGAGAGTTTTTTCTTTAAAAAAGAATTCATTATGCGAGTAGAGCAACTTAATTTACAGAAATAGCTTATATTCGATATGATGTATTAATTTTTTTATTACTTTTTAGGATTTTTATCATATAATACGAGAAAAATAATCTAATTAAGAACAATTTTGTTAAATGAAAGATGACTTACTCTATTCTTCAGTCTAAACATCATGTGAAATTTGTTCTCATTTTCATAATTTTAATAGATGTCCAATAGTATTTTATAGTCCATCAATATCAAAAATAGCATGTGATTATAGCGATTCTATATTTTAACCTCGATATAAAAATAAAAGAAAATTTGAGAAGAAAAAAAGAAGAACTTTTTAAAACTTTTAGAACAAAATTACTTCTGCAATAGATTTTATGTGTGATAATGAAACTTTAAGTGAAGGAATGAATGAATCTATTATAAGAAGATATGGATATATTGATTTATAAACTAAATAGCAAACCTTAGAGGATGACAAATTGAAATCACTTAAAGTTATCTAAAAATTATAATTAAATAGTTTGAATAATAATAATGGAGAAACTCCAAGAATGAAAAGATTTGTTTATAAGAGTTTATTTAAAAAAGATGAGAAATCTAATTCTAAATATGAAGAATCATAATTAGAAAATCTTCATTAAGAATTTATACAATTTAAAAAAGAGGATTTAATTCAATTTGATTAACATGTTGAATTTTCTCATTATCATAAAGATAAAAATATTAGTAAAGTGCTTACAAATTTTTAAAAATAACAACATAATAAACCTAGAGAATAATTTTATAGTAAGACCAGATTAGGAAAGACTAAAATGACACATGCAATCAATAAATCTTAAAATATTAATCCTAATTTAATGAATAATTAACATTTGATAACCATATTTAATAATAAATGAATATTGAACATATTTTATTAACGGGTGCCTCGACTGGTAGACGTACTAGACATTTCTCTTTAATAAAGCCTCTTCATCCAACCAATACAAGGGAATCACCTGAAGCTTCATTGATTTTAGGTTTTTCATAACCTTGGAAGGAGAACGCATTATAAATATTTGTTCACATTACCAAATTTATAATCAAATTGAAATAGGCTGCTGAAAAATACAGATTTAAATTAATAACTAATCGCATCCATAACATAATTGGTGATAAAGCATCAGATTTTTTGTATTATTAAAGAAAAGGATTAGTAAAAGCACCATTTACATTTCTTGATTTTATAACCTCTATGATAGTAAATAAATTACCATCATACGAATTTATGGTAATTAAACCAGATAGTAAAATAAAATTGGTTATGGATCTAATTATTCTTGTACTTATCATAATTAATATCTTCTACATTCCTATGCAATTATCATTTTAATTAAATGGTGATAATGCTGTTATTGATTTTTTATTCAGTACACTACCTAGTTGGGTATTTATAAATTAATATTAAGGATTTTCCTATTAGAAATAATACTTAACTTTAATACAGCATACTATTCTAAAGGTATGATTCATGAAAGCAGACGGAAAATTTTTAAGCATTATTTTTAAGGAGATTTTGCTTATGATTTAATTGTAGTCATACCTTTTTTAATTTCTTAATATTAGATTCCTTACATTAATTTTGTGCTATTATTGAGAATAACAAGAGTTAAGAAAATTTTTGAATAAATTGAGGAGATATCCTTAATTAGAGATAAATTTGCAGCTCCAATAGATATATGTAAACTCTTATATTTTTTAATTTTGGTATCACATATGCTTGGTTGCGCTTGGCATTTTGTAGGTTAAATAGAATTATAAAGTAATTTTGAAAATTGTTGGTTAACAAGATATGGTTATGCTGAAAAAGATTGGATTGCTAGATATATTGCTTCATTATATTTTGGAACTATAACTGCATTTACAATTGGATATGGAGATATTGTTCCATAGAATTAGTTTGAATAAATGTTTGTAATATTTACAGTTTTAATAACATCACTAATATTTGGATACACAATATCTGCAATTTAATAAATATTTGGTTAATTGAGAGAAAAGACTGATAAACATAGGAATAATATGGCTACTGTAAATTCATATTTAAAAAAAAATAAAATTAATCCTATTCTTTAAATGAAGATCAGAAAATATTTTGAATATTTCTTTACTCTAGATGAAACTTAAGATGTTTTAATGGATCTTCTTAATGATGATTTAAAATAAGAATTAAAAGCTAGTATTTATATTCCAAAATTGAAATAATGTTAATTACTAAATAGATTTAATGATTCACTTTTAGCTTAATTAAGTAGAGTAGTTAAAACATAAAAATATATCCCTGGATAAATAATATTTTAATAAGGAGATTTTGTTCCTAAAGCTATGTTTCTTCTTAGAGGAGAAATAGAATCACTTATAAACAAAGTTTCAATTAGAAAATAAAAACAAGGTTCATTTGGTATTAGAGAATTCTTATTAAGGAATTCTGTTCATTATACTACTAAAGCAACTAAATTTTCAGAGATTGCTTATATAGATCATGAAGAGTTTATTGAAGTAGTAAAAAAATAATCTGGTAATTATGAACAATATTGTTTGTTAAGAGATGATTTATAATTTGATTTATGTCCTATTTAATGTCAAGTTTGTTTAAGAAGTCACAATTTTATGGATTGTCCTGTAGTATTTTATAGTCCAAGTAGAGGTAAAATAGCAGTAGATAAAGGATCTAATATAAATCAAATTAGACATCATTTACATTAAAGAAAAAATTAGAAATCAAAAAATAGTTACTTAAACATGGTTGAAAAGATTGAATCAGCTCTTGATTTATAATTAGAAAATGGATTACTCTAATAAGAATAAATTAATTCACATTATATTTCTGATCTTGGATTACCAACTCAAAATGATGATGTATCTATTGATTCCATAACCAAAAGGAAATAATAAAATGTTGTAGATTAATTTAGACTATCAAAAGTTAAATAGTTAGTAAATTAAGGACGTCTTTTAAAATTAGAAAGAATTCCTTAAGTTATAAATGACTTGTATTCAGAATTTCTCAAAATCAAAAAAGAAAGCTTAGATAATTTTGATAAAAATGCTAATTTAGAACATTATCGCATCGATGAAAATGTCTTGAATGTTATGAAAAACTTCACTAATCGTGATTACAGAGTTGTTAATAGAAGAATTAATAGAATGAAAACATTTTATAGAAGAGTACAATAAAATAAAACATGAATAACTATCTATGTGATTTTATAAAATATTTAATTAATTATACTTCAAACTTCTTCGATGAACTATTTCACTCAACATTTTATTATATATAATTAATCATAAATAATCAACTTTAAACCTTGAGTCAAAATAATTCAATATATAATCCATACAATTAAAACAAAACTAATCTGATATTTGGTGAATTTACCTTTCATATTAAACCATTATTATTTATTAATGAATTGTATTGATTGATAGAAAGCCACTTTCACGATAAAAACAAAGGATAACAGTTAATTTGTAAAATTAAAAGTATTACAAATTTTTTATTGATTTATATTTAAAAAAACTATTCCCATAAATATGCCAAACTGATAAACATTATTAATATAAAATAAATTTACAACCTGGAGCAAGAAGATCTTTATTCTAGTGATAAAAAAAGGATAAATATTTTCAATTTCTAGCTTATTCTAAAATACTCTAATTTTGATAACATTTACAATACTATTTCTTATACAGAAATTGCTTTAATTTAATTCTTTTATAATATTTTATCAATATTCAATTCTAAATGACTAAAGAATGAAATTACACTTTATTGTTGATAGATATTTATAAGTTTGATCTAAAAAACCTAAAGTAGAAATAAATTCTAAGTATTTCTAATTAAATGCTGTTAATTAATTTACATGAGGTGTGCTGTAATATAAAATCATTTTTCCCGGTCATTAAAAATTGCTATTCATAATTTAGAATAAAAAAATAGAATATATCTATAAAAGAATACATCTTGTATGTTTCTCTCCCTTTCATAAGACCATAAAAGAAGAAATACAATTTTAGAATATCTCTATAGAACAATTAAAAGATTTAAGCACTTATTCATTTTTATCAAAAGTAGCTAAATGAATTTTAATATTTAAAATTATTTTTAAATTTTAGAAGTTAAAAAAAGATAATGTAATATTTAAATTATTTTTTTCTTTATTTAAAATATATGAACAACAAAACTTGCATAATTTATATCAGGTAACAAAATGAATATAAATCAAGAAAAATTTTAATTACATTGAGATGAAGTTTATTATTGAATATTTGGGTTTATTGTTATTTAAAATTATTAAATAAATTTAATAAGTATAAAAAAAAAAATATCATAAAATTTCAATTAAATGATTTTCTTATAATTTATTATTAAATAATAAAATATACAAAAATTTCATTAGATATAAAAAATATTGACTATTATAAATAGCTACGACTAAATATAATTTTATACTTTTTAGATAAGGTCATAATCTAGAGACTTATCAAATATTATTTTACTAAGACTTATTAAAAATTCAAATTGAGAATTTTTATTAAAAATTAAAATTTTGAGCATTATTCACCCTTGAAATAATTCTTAGTAATAAGCTTAAATGATTATAGATTATTTAAAAGTATTTTAAAATTAATTATAATCAGAGAAATTAAGGATCTAAAAGTCAATCAATAGTCCATTTAACATTTGAAATTATTAATTTTTAATAATAATTACAAGGGGTGTAAATTTTCAAAAATGATGATCATTTAACTTTAGTTTAGATTCAAAGATTAACAGGTAAGTTTCCTTTAGGATTTTCTTTAAATTGAACTTAGATCTAAAAGGTTTTTAATAATTAAGGAACTCTCTTAAGAATTCCACATTTTAAATGTTGGTTATTAAATAATGCTTTAGTAGAAAAATATAAATATAATTCAAAAGATGAATTAAGTAATTAAGTAATAAAATAAATAAATATAATTAGCTTTATTTTTATAACTTATGCTTAATTCATATAAAGAAAAGAGAAATACAGCATCCTAATATTTAAAGCATTATTGGTAAAAAAAAAATAGTGAGGGAATTAAAACGAACGAAGATCAGTTTCAAGAATATAAAGCTAAAAGAGGATTAGTTGAATTTAAAAAAAGTTATTAAAAAATTAAATTATTTTAGGAAGTTGAATGTATAATATACTGATAGAATTTAAACTTCAAAAAGATTCTACTAATACTTATGAAATGTAGGTATCAAATTCAAGAAATGGTTGCAAATAGAAATTGATAGATCTTGTACTGATCTTGGATGCATAGGATTTTGAAATAGAATTGATATAGATTTATTGGATTAGACAGGTAATTGGCAATTTATAAATTGATAAATATCATTCCTACATTGTTTTTGGTTCCTTATAGGAAGCACTTTTTTTGAAAAGACCAATTTTTGGTGTTTAAGAATTTAATTTTTATATGACATCTTCTATGTGGACTGATTCTTCATTTACATAATCATCATCCACACTCAATTGCTTTTTCTAAAAAGAGTTTTTTAGTGCAAATTTATGAAGATCTTATTAATCATTTTTTTTATTTAAAGGAGAGGCTTGAGGACTGCTATTGGAATCATGTTGTACATTCTTCATATTTAAACAAAATTGACTAAATTTAGAAAATTATTATAATGGTTTTTCTTAACGAATTGGTGATCCTGGAATTGATCCATTTGAAAATGAATCAAACGTATCAATACGACCATTATAAACAGGAGATCTAGTTATTAATTCCATAGAACCAACTTAACTATCAAAATTCTCTTTCTTTCCTATTCTTTATTAATTTTCAAGTTCATATTAGATTAAATTTTCCTAAACATCAATTAAATCTTTTTTATTAAAAATTTCTTAAAAATAAGGATGTTATAAACAAGCTTCAGCACTTGGTCTATCTTTAGGATTTTAATTAAGCATTATTCCCAACAAATCTTATAATTTTTATGATGACTAAGATTACATATATAGAAAATACTGACAATATTTCTTTAAGATTGAAATTAATTTCACAATTTTTATTAGATTTTAGGATAGCTTTATAATCAGAACCTTAAAAAGGTTACCTTCCTGTAAGAAGAATATAAAATATAACTCCAGCACTAAATATATCACATTTTTCATCATAAAAAGGATCTTCTTCCTTATATGTTAAAATCTCAGGTGCAACAAATCCAGGTGTACCACATCTTTTAATTAAAATCTATTCATTTAAAAAGGTTGCTAATCCAAAATCAGCAATAACAACATCAGTTGATGATTCTTTAGTTTTTAAAAGTAAATTTTCTGGTTTTAAATCTCTATGAATACACTTCTTGCTGTGAATATGCACAAGTGCTTTGATAAAATTATACATTATTTGTTATAAAGCCTCCGTAGAATATGGATAAACTTTAGCTCTTGTTAATAATTCACCTCCTTATAAAAGATCCATAACAAAATATATTGAATTTTATGTTTCATATGCTTCATGTAAATGAACAAGATTTTCTTAATTTAATCTTCTCATTACTCTAATTTCATTCTCTAAGCTTTCTTTGCCTTTATATTGTTCTAACATATATTCTTTATTGAATGCCTTAATTGCATACTAGACTCCTGATGATTTTTTAGCTGCAAGATAAACTTTAGCAAAACTTCCTTTTCCTATCATTTTAGAAACACTGAATTCATCATGAAATGTAGTTTATAAACACTTATACTACAATAATTACTTTAATATATTTGCATCAGATGATATTATATCAAAATATTATCCATTTCTTAATAATCTAATAGCCATTCCAAAATCACTTTTAAAAATGCTCATTATAACCACAGTTAATTAAAGCATTCCATGTGGATTTTAATCTTTAAAAAGATATAACCATTCCTATCCTAATTAGATTAAGATGGGTTTGGCCTTCTTCTTTTTTCTACTTATTTTATGACACACCGACTTGTAGATTATTTAATCATTCTATGATGCATACAAAATTATTTACTTCATAAGTAGTTTGTTAAAACTTAGACCAAATATGTTTGAGTTTATGAACAACTTCGAGATTATCAAAGAAGGATGTAAATTCGGTCAGCATTATTTTACTTGAAAATTAATTATATAATTGTAAATCAAGACACTATATATACATTTTTTGACTAAGTAACATTTTTTAAAGACTTTCTTAATATTAGTTTAAAGTATAACTAAATATTTAAACTTCTTTTTAGATTAGAGTACAATTAAATCCATAATATAATTATATTTATAAATCAAACTAAGCCATTTTACCATTTTAGATTCTGTTTCTTATTCTAAAACATGGAATTTAAATCAATTCTTAATATTATTCTTTTATTTGTGATTTCTTCATTAAACAAGCTCTTATTTTCACTTCTTGTTCCAAATTAATTTTTATAGCTAATACAAATTTTAATCTAATTTTTTATGAATTAATCATTATTCCAAGTTAGAAGAAAATTTAAAACTATTAAAATTTTAGTATTTTTGGATGACCATCCATTACCAGAAAATATTAATCATTCATTTTACATTAAGTTTTAACTACATTAGGTTAAATTAGATATTTTTGATCAGTCAGTCTAATTTGAAAATATTGTCCTCTCCATTAGAAAGTACATTTCAATTAAACTTCCCATATGACTTTTGTTTTGCAAATATTAAATTTTCTAAATTTACTTTACATCCTATGAATTATCAGATAAGATAGTTTTTCATAAATGTATTATTGCTTAACTTTATAACCTCACTTATTATATAAATAATATTATAATAATTTAAAAACAGGTGAAAGTGAGGATATCTCACAATCAAAGATGAATAAAAAAATATAATTAATGAATTAGAAAAAAATGAATAATGAAAAAGATATAGGATTTTTAGATAAAGAAAATGTAAAATAGAGGTAAATTAAATTAGATATTTCATTTAATATATTTTTATTTCTATTGAAGTTATTCCTTTTACTTCATCATAATCTAGATTTTACGTTATTCTTATTAAATCTATTGTTAGATCATGGATTTGTATAATAAAGTATGTTATTTAGTTTTCCTTGATTAGGATTGTTATGATTGAACAACCACTCTTAAAGGTTATGCATATATTTTGGCAGCATCATGCTTAAGCGATTTTTAAGGACTTCCAGTAATTTTCCGACTAGGCAATTAGATTTTTTTTGTACCTAAATTTTGATTAAATAATAACCTGTAGATTCTTCAAAAATATCACTTGCATATCCTAGAAATTAAGAATAATATTCAGTTTCATATTCTTCATCACATGGATAAATCTTTTCATATCCTCCAAGATGATCATCTTCATATGCATCTCTCATCAATTAGTATTATTCAATAATAGCCTTTCGATCTTCTTGAGTCATTCTAATATTTCTACCTGTCAAAATACGTTTTTGCATTTCTTGTTGTTTCTCCTATCTTAATAAGAATTTAAACTTACATTAATCTAAACTTTTCTTCCCTATTAACATTCATTAGCACTAGTGTGTCTTCAATTAAATTAGCCTTGATATATTAATCAAGAGGTGAATCAGTAGTAAATGATGGACTATGGTTTACTTCTAATAAAATTGGCCTAAATTAACAAAGACTTATTTACATAAAAGAATTATCCAAAATAATATCAAATCCCAAAATTTCAAAACACATATTATTCATTAGATTATTGGGTTGGCTTGTAGTATATTGATGTTTAAGAAATGGTTGGGCAGAACAAAGAGTTTTGATTATAATTTATTTAATGTCCATCCATAACTGATCAATATCTCTGCCTTCCTATTTTAATTTTTCAAAAACACTTGACATACTTCTTTTGTGTCCAACATCCATTCGTTATACATCTTCATTAAAAACAAAGTTTTCATTATTTTTGTTAATAGCATAATTTGTCAAATGCATACAAAGTTCATCATAATTAGAGAGATGAGGAGGCACATATTTTTCAGTTGCAAACCTTGCTAAACCTTCAGTGTATATGAATATTCTTAAAGGATCACATCCTGCAACAAGAACATATATTCTAAAATCAAATTTCAAACCGTCAATTAAAAAAGGATTACTCAAATATTTCTATACTACATATCTTTCTGTTGGAGTGATAAATTCAAGAGTCTTAGTTAAGAAGATACCTTAATTTAACTAATTAATTCTTACCTCTACCTTAACAAGAAGCTTCAGGTTTTACAATTAATGTTTCATCTCTACCCTTTCCTTTCATATATTCTCTTAAGTCTTAAACATCTGATGGCAACATCCAAGTAAAAGGAAAGAATTTAAATTCCTTTGGAAAGCGACGACGCATCTTAGTTAATTATTTACCTAGATTATTTTTTCGAGCTAATATGTACATTCCAGGAAAATGATTCACTTTCTAATGCTCTAAAACAATTATAATTTTGTTATATACATTTCATTTTGCTTAACATTTCTGCAGGAACCCCAGAATCAGTCCAATAAACATCCCAATCCCATGATTCTGGGTCACCTATTAATTTCCATTTTAATATTTCTTATCCAACATAACGTACTACTTAATATTGAGTGTCAAACACGTTCATTATTATCTAAGGGAGAACTACCTTTCTCTATTGTTCAGTTTCACTATCTGACATTTTATTAGTTTCAAATATATTTTTATCAAATTTTATAAATTATTATACCCAAACCTTTTATTATTCTTAACAAGTCATACTACATACTCATAACATATTAAATTTTAAAATAAAATACATCATAAACTAAATGACTTTCATTTTGTTTGGCTTAATACTTATACTTACTCAAACAGATATTAAATCTTGGATTCTAATAAAATACTCTTTGTTTGTTTGTACTATATTCTTCTCTTTTAACCAAAGTTATAGAGACTTATATAATTTCTAGAATGAGCATCTTAGTAATTATGAATAAATAATCGAATACTCAAAGTACTTAGCCTTTTTGTGAAACCTGCTAAAATTACAAATCCTCCAGGATTATATAATTGCAAATTATTAATTAATTGCATTTTAATTTTTGATCACCGTAGTCTCTCTGTAAACTAATTTTATTGATAAAACAACTATAAGTAAGCAATTTTATTACTATCAGATATTTTTTTATCTTTAACAAGCTTACTTGTGAGGTCTTTCAATTTTTAGTTTTTCTAAGCAAAAGTAAATCTAGTTTTTTTTCTTTTGGTTTTTTATTATGGGTCAATAAAAAATAAATTATTACAAACCAAGAATTTATTAATAGTTTTGATTATTGATAGATCCCTATCTTTGTTTGATCAAATCACGAATATAACACTTAACAATAAACATTTGATTTTTGAATATAAGCAAAATATTTTTCAAACAAATAATAACTATAATGATTTCATTAATATAAGATTTAGAATATTAAGCTTAATTAATTATTTTTATTCAAAGTCTTTTTGATGATCAATAAATCAATACAATCTAATAGAAACATAATTCTTTCTTCTTAGAATAGTAAAGTAATTTTAAGCAAACAACAAATAAAAGAAGATAATTAATTGATTAAAAGAAAGACTTCAAAAGGATATCCATTTAAAGAGCAAATCAACCTTCAAAAAAGTAAAAACCATCTAAATGAAAGAAATTCCATGGTTAGTTTAGAATCAATTTCTAAGTTCTAAACTTGTAAAAAAATAATGAGTCCCAATATTATGATCTCAAATAGGAAACTTTTTATTTCAAGTAGGAATAGTAAAAAATGTTAAGAGTCAGTAAGCTAAGAACCAATTTTATAATAATAAGGTAAGATAAAGACAAATCAATATGGATATCGAGTAATGATTAACAGAACTAACAGGATGTCGACTATGTAGATAGAAGAGGAGGTGAAGTAATAATCTCCTTAATTTAATACATATAAAGATCCTGAAACATTTACTGATTGGGTTGAAAAGATTTATGGAAAACAATGGTTTTATTGAATCTGCCAATAAATGAATAAATAATTTGACAATAATAATTTGTTTATAATATTAGATATAATATATTCCAGATAATTTTATAATTAAATTACGAAATAAAACGAAAATAATCATTTAGATATAAGGTAAAGCAATCAAGTACATATACTCTTTTTATAATAATTACAAATTTCTTCAGCCTAGGCAATTAAGGTAGGATTAATGATTTCTTCTTACATGGCATTTTTAAGAAATTGAACAAATAAATTAAATGTGCTTTCTCTAATTTTCAATGATTGATGTATAACTTTTAAATCATTAGAGTTGTAGATGTGTTGATCTTTTAAAATAAAAGTAACTATTCTATAGAGATGTAAATTCATTTAGTAATTAGCATTCTTAAAATATTCTGTATAATTTTCATTATCTTATAATTTTAATTAAACCCTTGCAATAACAAGATCTACT